CTGCAAAGCATCCCTGGCTACCTGGGCCCGCGCGCAGGGCCGGGTCTTCCCCCCCCTGCCCAGGTGACCAGAGCATCGCCTCCCAGGCCCAGGCTTTTGTCTGCAGACAAGGAGCGAGATCCCCGCTGTGACAGATTCAACAGCCGCCTCTCAGGCCGGCTGAGACAGATCTCTGGAGAGGGGCACCGACGGGGGCATTTCTGCCACACGGATAACCTGGAGAGGGTCCAGAGAAGGGCCACTCGTATGGTTAAGGGCTTGCAGACCAAGCCCTACGAGGAGAGACTAGAGAACCTGGACCTTTTCAGCCTCCGCTGGTGTTTGCTCCCTGCTTGCTCTGGCTAATGAGTAACAGGATCCATGGGCAATTGGATCGTCATCTCCCTAGTCGTTGAGCACCGCATGGAGTCGGAGTCTAACACAACCCTCATTGTCTATGATTCCCCTTTGGACATCCCACACCCTTTCTTACACCACTCCCAAAAGAAGGAGTCTATATTTCATTCCAGGGTCACAGCCTTGCCCTGTGCCTCCAAACCCCACAACCTTGAGACCAAGGTTGGCTGTCCTGGATATATGTGGCTCCTTCTCTTGCAGTCCAGGCTGCTGTCTCATCTGCCTGTCCCACTGTCCCTGCAACATGCACCATCAACCTTTGCTCTACCCATGGCTCCACCCCTGGGTGCAGTTCCTGCTGTGTTTTCTCACCATGGTTCTCTCACTGGGTCTGGTCTCCTCCCTCTTTAATGTCTCTTTCCTTTCTCCGTCCTTTGTCTGGTGTTGGTCTCTGCCGAGTGGTGTCACCACTTTCCTGGGGACTTTCTTAGCTCTCTCAGTTCCTTTCTGCTGTTAGCTCTCAGCCCCAACTTCTTCTGACGGCTGTGAGCAACTCTAGTTCTAGGTGGCGTTTCCTTCCCGATGAATTTGTGTCTCCAGTTCCTCTTGTTCCAGCTGTAGGTTCTTGTTGAATTCCTGGTCTTCCATTATCAGCTTGGAATTATTTTGCTGGACCCTGGTGAGTTATTTCTTCATCTCTCCCTCAAATGTGTCGGCCTCTGCCAATTCCATCTTAATCTGGGTCAGCTCTTCTTTCAAGAGACTGATTTCTTACTGCCTCTGATCTCCATCTCCTTGATACCTCTGCTCTATCTTGGTCTGATCAAGTGCAGCTGATGTTTCATAGTTGGTAGAGTAGGAAACAACCTAAGCAGTTCATTAAATCCTACCCCCTGCCATGGGCAGGAAAGGATGCTGGGGTCAAATGACCCCAGCTAGGTGTCTAGCTAGCCTCCTTTTGAAGACCCCCAGGGTAGGGGAGAGCACCACTTCCCTTGGAAGCCCGTTCCAGCTCCTAGATGCCCTGACTGTGAAGTAGCGCCTCAAGATATCTAGCTTGAATCTACTGTCAGTCAACTTATGGCTGTTATTCCTTGTTACTCTCGGTAGTGCTCGGGGGAACAGGGACTCTCCCATTGCCTGCTGGTCCCCCTGGCAAGTTTATAGGCAGCCACCAGATCCCCTCTCAGTCTTCTTTTGTAGAGGCTGAACAGGTTCAGGTCCCGTAGCCTCTGCTTATAGGGCCTACCCTGCTGCCTCCTGATCATGCAAGTGGCCTCCTCTGGACCCGCTCAATGCTGTCCACATCCCTCCTGAAGTGCCGCACCCAGAACTGGACGCAGTACTCCAACTGGGGCCTAACCAGTGTCGCATAGAGGGGGAGGATCACCTCCTTGGACCTACTGTTGGCCTTCCTGACCGCGTCCCCATATTGGCGGCCCATGTTCATCTTGGAATCAGGAGTGACACCAAGATCCTTTTCTGCCTCTGTGCTGACAAGAAGGGAGTTCCCCAGCCTGTGTGGCAGAAATGCCACCGTATGTCTCTCTCCAGAAACCTGTCCCGGTCAGCTTGGGACACTGGGGTTGAGTTCCTAAGGGAGGGGGGATTTTCCTCCCTGCCTACGTGACAAAAGCCTGGTGCCGAGGTGTGGTCCCTCTGGTCACCTGAGTGGGGGAGGGAAAAGCCCCTGCTCCTCTGCCCAGGTCACCAGTGGTGCTGTTTAAATTGGTTGGCTAATTGCCAACACTGCTGGCTTCTATTGGACTGGGCTGCTGAGGTCAGAAAGGCAATATAAGGGCCTGGTCCCAAAAGAAGGGAAAGAAGCCATTTTACCAGCATGGCACAAGCATCAGGACAAATGGAGAGAGTCTGATGCATCTGAAACGTGCTCTCTTTGGAAATCTCTGAGCCAGATCTCTACCATCTTCTGAATGATACTCATAAGTGTTTCTAGAGAGCTAGTCAGCTCCCAGCGATGAATTTGTGTATCAAATGGCTACCTCAGCCACACTGTTTTGCTAAATGGTAATCCCTTGATAGTGCTCTACCTCCTACCCTATTCTACCCCTTCCCTCTGTAACCAATACAGTTCTCCTTTGTCACTGGCGTAGGAGACTTATTGAGGGGTGGGTTTAATTATGCCTAGGAGGCCCCTTAGGTCTGTGGACTAAGGGGGACTATTCTTTTTGGCCCCCGACTTGGGGAAGTACCCCAAGTGCTTGTATTGGGTTGAGTACTTGTAGGACTGTTAGGCCTGTTTTTCCCCAAGGACACAGAACCTGGAAGGTTCCCTCTTGGGGTGGTGGCGGCACGTTACCCCTGGACTTTGATGTGGAGCTCGAAAGGGGGTCTGCCAGGGCTTAGGCGACCCTGGAGAGACACACGGAGTCCAGCACGTGGTTGGGCGTGGCGAGGCAAGAGGCTCAATGCAGGAGCTCCCCCTACCTGCCTGCCACAGCCTGTAGGTCTGGTACTGGTTCTTCCTCTCCAGGTGCAACACCTTGCACTTTTCCATATTGAAACCCATCCTATTCTCATCTGCCCACCTCTGTAACCTGTCAAGATCTTGTTGTAACCTGTCCCTCTCTTCTAGCATGCTCACTTCTCCCCACATCTTAGGGTCATCTGTGACCTTGAATAAGGTGCTTTTCACCCCCTTGTCCAAATTGCCGATGAAGATATTGAACAGTGCGGGCCCTAGGACTGAGCCCTGGGGGACCCCACTGCCCACGTCCCTCCAGGATGAAAATGACCCATCCACCACCGCTCTCTGGGTGTAGCCCTCCAGCCAGTTAGCGACCCATTTGACTGTGTAGGTGTCGATGCCATAGTC